TAGCCTTCTTGTGTTATTCTTACTTTTTGCTTCATCTCATTTTTCTCATATCTTTTTGTTGCTTTTGGTGTTTTTTCCTGTTCTGAGGTGTGATAAGATATCTTTTACAAGCAATATTTGACAGCTAAGTCCATCAGCGGCATTTGTGAATCATTACTTTGGTAACTTCTCTCTCCCATTTATGCTCCCATTCATGTTCCTATTTATGCTTGGGAGCTTCATGTCATTGAAGGAATGGACCTTCATTTGGATGCTCGAGTTCGGGGCTATCCTTACCCCTGGGAAACCTGGCGCCATTCTGAGGTTCTCCTTCAGAATACATCAAATTTCGATTCAGAAACAAGGTTTTAAGAAAAAATGTCACTTTATCTGATGGCTGACTTTACACCTGCTATGCCAAGAATTCATTTGAACATGTTATCTTAACTGTAAAGGTTTACATTAAAGGTACTGTCATGAAAGAGAGAAACAGAGCAAGTTTGCTGTTTTTGGTCTATTAATTTCTTTTAGTGTTCTTCGTGTTGTTTTTTACTTTTTTTGTTTTTTTTGTTTTGCTTCTTTGTTTTTCTCTTATTTTCTTCTGTCTCGGTTTTGGTTTTGTTGCTTTGTTTTTTTAGTTTAGTTTCGTTTTGTTTTTTTTCATTTTCTTATCTAAACCTGCTGCTATCTTAGAGAAAAGCTACACACCGGTAGTTCTCGACTACTTCATTTAATTATCCGAAAGCTTTCTCCTGTACATTGCTGAATATACTCCTCTAAGTGTAACTCGAACAAATTCAAAGACTATGATTTTATAGTTATTAAGAATCTTTATTGTGGTATAAAACAGACAAACTTTGAAACATCATATGAAAGAATAGAACAATATACATACATATTTAACTTTAATTCAACCATTAATTTTTCTAAAATATATCTCTTCACTAAATCAGTATACTTCTTAACAGTGCAAGCATTGCCAGAAATTACACCCAAGAGACACTTGTGAGTAAAGCTTCTCTTTTCAATGACTCAGCAAATGTGATAATGCGAGGCAGCTTATAATCAAGACTGATTTAATTTTTTAAAGTACAAAAAATTATCAAAATAACTCAAAGGCAACAAATGGTCCAGCTCCTGAACAGAAATATAGATATTGTTTGATTTTTGCGTCTGAAAAACAAAGAATATTAGAGCAGCATTGAGTATTCTTTCAGTGGATGTGAGAATACATGCACTCATATTGCTACTTTAGATATTATCAAAACATAAGCTTTCAGTGAGTACTACATCAGGTGTTTGCACAGTTATTGAAAAAGGAGGAAACAATAGCAAGAGTCTACCTGTAGCAAATTTCAAGCAATTCTTGCTCTACAAAAGTAAAAATTGCCTTTGACTTATTAAAGGATACATTGAAAGTATAAAATGAGCCAAGTAACCCAGTGAGAGCCCACAGTTTTTTTCTTGTGGGAGCTGAAAAATTACACCTCCCTCTATATACAGTATACTATATACAGGAGATCGATGTCATGAAAATCTCCAACAATTACAATTTGTGACTGGACATAATCTCAGATTGCTGAATCAACACCAGCAATTAAAAGAAAAATTGAAAACCATATCAAAAACGAGCCAAAGTGCAGAAAGAGCATGTAGCCAGTCAAACTTGCCAGCTAGTCTGCCATTCTTAGTTGGTCTCTTTCCCCTTATGTCATTTTATTTTACACACACAAAATATATTAATAGGACATTTTTTCTAAAACTTTAAGGTAAAAAAAGTATAAATGGAAGTGGAAATTTAGCTCAATGCTTTTCATTTGTCTTCCCTTCATGGCTTGTGGGGTGTACAACCATCGAAAAATAAGAGTCAACAATTCCATGTGCAATGTTTATCTAATGGTTTGACCACAGAAATTTTAAAAAACCTGCTAAATCAAAAAGCTGGAAAAAAAGAAGGCAAAACTAAATACAACCTAAGGTACTTGAACCTTTGTATCTGGACTTCATAAGGAAATGGGTAATTTAAGTATTCTGAAGTATTTTTGCACCAAAGTAGCAGTTTTTTAGACTCCTTCTGTACCTCCAAAATGGTCACAATTTCATTCAATGCATTTGTGATGGTAAATACACAAGAACAAAGGTCATGAACTTAAATGATCATAGTGATCATTCTCCACGCTTTTAGTTTAAGGCAAGAAATTCAGCACCACAAAATTTTCTATTTTCACTACAAGCAGAAGAAGCAAAGCAACAGATTTTTTAGCTTTGCCAATCCATTCAGTTTCCATCGCAATACACTTGGTACAGTTAAGTCCGTTCGCGTCTTGACTCCAAGTCGACCCAGTGCAACCTAGTGCGACACAATGTGCTGTATCGTTACAAAGTGCCGACTACTGGCGCAAGTGTCACGTGACAAAATATTTTTCTCGATTTGCGAAAATTTTCTGGATTTTGAAAAGATTCTTGGATTGTAAACTAATTTCGATTTTCATGAAAGTTATTTGTGGATCTATGAATGAATCCAGGATTTGAAATTGTTTTCTCGAGTTGACAAACTTTTCAAAAGCTATTTGTCTAAAGGATATCGATTTTTAATATTTTTCGGATTTTCCAAATATTTTTGGATTGTCCCTTCTCGGTATCCGTAAAGAACTCGTGTCGTCTCTAGGTTCAATGTTCATTGCAATCAATTTCTTGAATTTAAGACGCTCTTTTATGATAGGGTAGGACTGCTTTAGTTCCTCTGCATCTTGGGCAATGGCAAGGAGGTCTTGGCCATCAAAACCGTCCTTTTTCTGAAATATAACATGCGAACAAAGATCAATGGAGCGGTCAAGTCTGTGTTTATAAAGTTGTAAAGGAAATTTCTTCAGCCTACCTATCCTTTCTTAAGTTTCAGGAGAAAATAAATGTGACTGGAGCCAAGAAAAAACCTCTCAGTGATGAATTCGCTGCTATTATTCATTATTGAATCCGATGCACGCGGTCAAGGTCCAACTAATGTGATACGCAGAAGGAGGTGCAAAGATGCACTAACAAAAAAAGGATGATTTTTGGAGATGAGTCGCTTTTATAACAAACTAAGCTCCTTACGCTTTATCTCGTCAGGGGTTTTTGTGGTTTCTTTTTCACAGACACTCAGTTGGAGGATATTATAGACGTAGGTTACAAGTTTTTATTTGTTTCATATTATTTTTACTTTTTTAGATATCCAAAGTTCCTCAGTTTCACCTTCCTCAAGTAAGTATACGTCTGTTCCTTTCTTTTCTTTGAATGAGTTGTTCACCTTTTTTTTTTTTTAGTATAATAGTCTAGCTTCTTACTACAACAACCTAGATGATGCAGGCCTCTTGAGCCCGTGCTTATCTCTTCCCCCGGTATAAACACCGCTGTTACTTAGCGAGGATCTTTGTTTAAGCTTTCAAAAGGTCCTTTATGTTTTTATCTTGTTTTTTTTTTGTCAGCTAAGATGCAATAAGACATTTTTTTTCTAAAGGTACATGGCCGAAAAGAGTGGTGTAATTATTTTTTTGTTTGTATGTAAGCTTTTTTATCATCCCCGTGAAACCATTTTGCGCAAAATTGGGATTTATTCATTCTTACAACAAGGAAAATAGGGCCATAGCGATTTAGGTAACAAACACTTAAATCAGTAAAAGCTTTCAGGATCGTCGGGAGATGAAATCGTGAATTTCTGTAACTAGCTCAGTCTTTTCTGTTGGTGTCTAACTAAGCGAAAAAACATTTTCACCGATAATAGTGGTTCACATATCTTCCTTCCCTATTCACACAAAACATTAAGCCACAATAAAATGTCGGCCAGTCAATATGCACTGGGTTTGGTGGTCTCTGTGATATACAGTATTACATAGTGCATGTACTTTGTGTAATAGTCCATTACTGAAAAGAAAAATATTAACTGTTCATTCCTAGGAAAGGAAGATCTGGATTTTGAGACAGCCTTCAACAAAGTCGCCCCTCTGATCTTTTCCTTAACTGCACTTCTAGTAATTGCTGTTATAATCATTATTTATCTGGTTGTGAAGATCAAGAAGAATAAGAGGCATGGTTATTCCCACAACCACTGTTGTGGATTTGGAGGTGGCGATGACAATCAAGATGCCCTAGGAGATACCATTGAAATTAACCTAGGAGATTGCCCGAATGAAGAGGACGGAGCAGAAGAACTATGATGTACTTAAGATCTAAACATTGATTTTTCGGATCAGTATCAGTATCTAGGCAACTGCCCACCTACCCCTCCCTTAACTCAACGTTGGGTTAGGGGAGGGGTAGGTGGGCAGTTGCCCAAATACTGATATTGATCCGATTTTTCTACTTTTCTAAAGCGGGGGTCACAATGTGTTAAACAGAGGATTCTCCCCAGTTTTTGCCACCTGAATATTGTTGGTTGTTTGCTTAAAAAAGGCTCACAAAAGGGGGGTCACAGACACTTAGGTCCCCCTCCTTCCCCCAGCTATGCAGTTGTCTCATCATTAAAGTCATTTTTTATTTTCTTTCTTTACATTTTTCTTTATTATTTTTTGTTTAATATTTGAAATTTATTTCGCTAAAATAAGTGTAATTAAAAGTCAGGGTAGATGTGCAGGACAACAGCTATTTAAAAAAAAGGTCAAGTTTTAAAGAAAAAAAAAATCTCTATAAAAATGACTTACCTTGCAGTTGTGTGTTTTCTCCAACTGTCTCTTCGTCTCCTAAGCCATTTTAAAGTCTTTCAAGAGGAGCTCCGGACTAGAGAAAGATAAATCTCAAAATAGACGTTGTAACTTCAAATTCTAGCGAGAGCTGAGTTGCCGAACTCCCAAAAATCGTTTGTGCACTGTTTCTTAGTATGCAACAAGACCCCTTCCGGCCATAAAGATAGAAGTTAGTTTATTAGATTGATACTGATGAAATACCAGGATTTTTCCTTTTACTAAAAAATCATATCTTCATCGCGCGCAGTGAAGATACTATTTTTATCTTTCACGTGTAAGGATATTGGTGTCGCCATGGTTACTACCATGATTAGCCATTCACAAGAGAGCTTCCCCCTCAAGCGCGCGGACGGTTCTTTGGAAATTTCATCAGTATAAATAAAATAAACAGAACATTACATGGCCGCGCGGGGATACGAAGTTTATCTTCGAGTGCAGAAAGTATCTCTTCGCTTATCGTGAGAGGTACTTTCAGAACTCGAAGATAAAATTCGTATCCCCTCGCGGCCATGTAATATCCTCTATATCTACTACTAAAACCAAGTTTGAAACAAGTTGTAATCACTATGAAAGAAGAACTGGAATATCTCACTCTAGCCTGATTTTACTGTGTTAGCAAGAAAAAAAAAACGTTCTAGAGGCAAGTCATTATTTATCTCTAGGGGAGGGGATGAGGTCCAAATTTTTTTTTTTGGGGGGGGGAAGGATCACATGGTTTTCAAGAGAGCGGAAAGAAAATCAGTTGCTTCCAACAGATTTTAAAGGGAGGAAATACAGAGAAAATCGACTACCGAAGCGGAGGGGATCATCAATTTACCACAGACCCTTACTGTAGGATCAGATAAATTTCCTCTTGATACAACTAAAATCCTCTAATACTTTATTTTTCTGAGCTTACCGTGTTGTCAAAGGTGTGTAATACTGTTAAAAATACAGTAGCGGTAGATTATAGGCTTCAGTTTAGAACCCAAGTCGGTTGACAAACATTTGCCATTTTTGTGAGCACTTTCCCAGTGCAGATTAACCTCCAGGTCAGCTGCACAAAAAAATATCAATATTCTTTCATCGAACTTTCTTTTTCCGATTGTCGATCAAGAGAGGATTCTGAGAGAGAAACAGGACGTGTTCAATTAGATTTTATTTATCATTTTTTGTCCTTACATTTTCGACAGGAACTCGAAAATCATATGGGGACTCCAATGTCGCTATTACTTTACAGTGGTTAAAGACTTGCCCCTACTTTCACAATAACGCGAAGTTAACTTAGGGTGCACGAAGTATGCGATTTATCGAAATTTAGGTAATAGGTTGTTGTTCATCGTAGTAGCTGGATGATAATATAAATTTTGTTCTGTTGTCTCACGACAAAGTCACAAGATGTAGATCGCGACGTTTAGACTGCTTACTGTAAGTCTTCTGCAGGCGATGGGGTCGACTGGTTCCGGCACAGCATTAGGTATCATGATGGTCTGCTGCGATTGGTGCATTTCGATCTGGGTATTGTTTCCGTGTCATGGTTTTCATGAATTTACATCCCATTTTCCCCCCTTCCAACAGCATAATGGTTTTTTTTAAGGATAACTATGGTATATTCTATCATGCACTTAAATCTTGTGCATGGAGTACCATGTATTATCTTGCGACTGTAGTCAATCAGGTTGAAGTGGTTTATAATCATCTATTGACCAGGACACATCTTAGTTACGTTGAGTAAGTGACATACCGAAGTCATGTTTGGCTTGTCGGTTGGATAACCTGGCACTAGTGGGTTACACTTTCTGTATACTCGTGGGAGAACAAGCACGGCTACTCTGTTGTGCTCATTCCTTGAAAGATAACGGGCTTTTTTCCGTGTTAAAAAATTGTTGTCATGATTTCCGCATGAATATTATTTCATCAGCGTTTTTGTCACGCGTGGTAATTAACACCGTAAGACGCTTAGCGCCAGTATTGAATGAAACGATGCAGTTTATTTCCTCCCTTCCATTCTGCCACTAGAAATACATAAGCCCTAAGTCTACTCCCCTAAGTTCAAATTGACAGGATCTTATATGCATATGCATTCCGGGGAAATGCAAAGAACTTTTGATTACAGTAAACAGCAAACTTTTCAACAGAACATTTTACAGACCCGTCAAGCCTTGCAGATGAGCAGGGAGGTTGACTGGCCGAGAAGAGGATGCCAATTAAATGACCATCAGGGCGTTTTTGCCATTCCTGGTACTCGCAAGGGAGTTTATAATCTAGGAACGACGCACTCATCGAACTATAAAAATACTTCATATACAGTTTCTGTATAAAATATTCTAGTTCGACCTCAAATCTTTTATGGTTCGACGTCTGTTAGTTGCATTCATGCGTTTCAATCGTTTCGACCGTAATAAAGAGATTACTGCGTTTCCGAAGGAAAACACCGTTTTGAAATTTCGCCAGCCTAACGTGATCGCGCCAAAGTCTCGTGCAAACATTACCCCCGTTAACCAATTAAACGAATTGATGAAATGCATTAAGGATGACGATTTCCTGTTGAGTAATCCCTGCTTCAATAGAAAACATACAAAGACCTTGTCTGCTTCTTGTTTGAAGATAATTATGACATGAATAGGTCAATAGAACCACAACTATATGACACACACGTGTCTTTATCATCGCTATAAAATGAATAAACAACCAGATTAAAAAAAAGATTTCTAGATAGGTTAAAACATGTAGATTCGTTCCTGAGAAAAACATTTTCCGATATCTAATTCCGTAAAATGGTCACTTCACTTACAATACAAGACGATGTTGTGTGACCTTTTTTGTTGACGTCATTGCTAAATATTGGACCTGACCAAGTCATTAAATTCACTTTTCCAGTCAACTCGCGATCGTGATCGACTATCAATTGTTCGCCGAATCGACGTTGATTTAATTTGTAGTGGTGTTTCAACTTGATATGTACATTTCTTTGAGAATAATTCTTCTATACTTCTTCTTTTCATCGGGCATAATACTAAAATCCAAAGGTATGTTAGTAGAGCACTTATTTTATAAAACCCCAGAATCTACTCACCGACCGGCAGATGTGTGAGTCACTTGTAACTATGGCGGCGGATAAACTATTTCGCAGCCGGAGAAGTCGCAATAAGGACATGTTTGTCAGCTGATGTGGAATCTTTCTCGCTTTCGGAATGAATTGAAATTTAAAACTCGTTACTTTTGATCCGCAGGTGATTTTGTATAATTCGGGAATCTCAGTTAGATTTCTATTTCCATAGTCTTACGTAGTGTTAGTGAATGCGGTGCGCGCGATAAAGAACTCACTTGTGGAACTTACAATTCATCATGATTAGCTATTAAAAAAACTCTCTCGCTCCCTGAAATATATAGCATTCTTTGGCGTTATTAACAGGTACTACTGTAACAAATATTTGAGCTGGTGATCGGAGTTGACCAAAGAAAGCCGCTTTAATATTATGCGAGTCTTTGGATGTAAATAATTCAGAGCAACAAGTTCTTTGGTGGCCTTTTCGATACTTCTGTCGGCGCAGAAGGAATTGTCGTATATTCATCACCTAGGCCCAGTTCAGACGCCGTACTTCAGCCGAGCCGAATCAAATTCCACGAATTAAGTTCATGTGAAGAACGGCGTCTGGATCAATTCGGAACGACTGATTTAATTAAGATCGGCTCAGTCAATTAATCCTGCCTGGCTGAGCTGGGAAGAACGGCTGTAGGCCGGCTTTGATTCAGACGCCGTACTTCAACTGATCCCCACCAAGTCCATAAATTATTTCGATGACGATTTGCATTCTTTATCTTCTGGCTGTTTTCCAGCATTTTGAACAGAAAAAAGTCCCATCCTTGCAGATTGCTGCCGGAATCCATGGCGTACACAATGTTTACAATCGTATGCTAAACTAAGGACCGAATATTAATTTTCTTCGATTAACTGATTTCTGCCGTATAAAGTTCGGCGTTTGAATCAATTTAGCCAGGATTAACTAATTTGGGTCGACCTATCGTTGAATTCGATTCAGCGCGTCTGAACCGGGCCTTATCCAACCAAGCTTGGGTTAGCATTGCACTCGCCAGTTTAAATCTACTGTTAAACTCATGTTTTGACACCTTAAATGTCTTAGAGTGCACTCCATAGTATCAATTAAGTCACCAAATATGTAACAAGGTGCCTCAACATCAATACGTCATACGGTACGTCGATAAACTACTATAAAGCATTTGGGAAATTTTATTCACTTATTCAATGCGGCATATACCGATGGTGATTCAGTCAAGCAGATCGCGAGGGTGCCCTGTGTGCAGTAATTTTACGAAGCATGCATTAAAAAAATAATATTAACAATTATGATAATAATGATGGTAACAAAAATAATAGCGAAAACCATCCTTGGAGACCCAAGGGCTGTGAGTCGTTTCAAGTCAGGGGCTCTTCCGCCCTAATGACGACAAGTTAAAATTCAATCCATATTTAAATCGAACGCTTCTAATCGGTCAGCGCGTAATTATATGCAAGTTTTTAAAAGGAAGCTCACCGAACACTCCTGAAAATCGGAAAAAAGGGAGGTACTGATAATGATAGTAAGAATGATATAAACAGTTATGATATTACAATGAGAATTTAAAAAAAGTTATATTACCCTTTATTTGATAGTTGCTGAGGTTACAGTAAAAATACACGAGAGACGCTTGCTACCTTGCTCTGAGTCCAGTGATCTAGAAAATGTTGAGCATATCGCTTGGTTCCGCTGCTCCACGGCTGATTGCGAACTAAACTGGAACAAGCTCCGGATAGCGCATGTTCAAAATGTGGAAGAGACAATTGCCGATAACCCAAACTTTGACGTTTTCACCAACGGAACCTTACTTATAAGGAAGGTACTACCAGTGGATGATGGGAAAATGTTTATTTGTAAAACCCAGAAGACCTTTGAAGGGGTAGGAGGGTCCACCACGATCCTCAATATAAAGAAAGGTGATGTTTATATAGGTGTTATATAATGATGATAATGGTAATGATAACAATAATAATAGAAGTATTCATGATAATAACATTTGGAATTTAGCACTGGACAATCCACGTGGTGGCTTTTGTTGTCCACGGTTTACAGAAAGAAAGGACATTTGGAACGTAATTTTTCTGGGGGGTAAGGATAATTGGAGAACCCTGAGATAAAATACGGAGCAAGGACGAGAAGCAACCGAAACCCACTCATGACGTCAGGGGTCCATTTATTGAGGGTCCCGGTAGCTTGACTTGCCTGTAAAACGTTCTGTTTAAAACAAGTTTACAATAAGACTGTTAGCTAAAGAAACAAATTGGACTGGTAAGTGTACCAAAACTTTCTTCTCTGTTCTTAAAATTTTTATTTTAAAATATGGCTTTTGGCCCTTAAAGTTTCTGGGACTGAGAAACGGGCGCCACGTCGCCATCCCCACTTCTTTTTATAAATTCCTTGTAGTAGTTAGATAGTTTTGATTTTTTTTTTAGAACCCCCAAAATTAATACCAGAGAGTCCTCTGGAGGTTCATGTCATTGAAGGAATGGATCTTCATATGGATGCTGGAGTTCAGGGTTATCCTTACCCCTGGGTATCTTGGAGCCATAATGACCTTCTCCTTCAGAATACTTCGAATGTCGATTCACAAACAAGTCTTAAAATTCGTAACGTCACTGTATCTAAAGGTGGACTTTACACTTGTTACGCCAAGAATTCAGCTGGACATCATATCCTCACCTTTAAAGTTTATGTTGAAGGTACTGATTTTATTTGTATGTTGGACAGCTTCGTGAGAGTAGATGTAACCTGTCAGGAGAGAGAAACGCAGTGAAATTTTGCTCTTTGTATTCTATTAATTTCATTTATTGTTCTTTGTGTTGTTTGTCACTTTTTTTGTTTGTTTGTTTTTGTTTTTTGTTTTGTTTTTTTTCTTGATTCCTCTTATTTCCTTCTGTTTTGTTTTGGATTTTTTTTTCGTCTAAACCTACTTCTATTTTAGCAAGAACCTATACACTTGCTCAGATGCTTCCAATTTTTTCCCCTCTCTATCTAGGTCAGGCGGTGAGGACAACTACAGGATTAGGTAGGTTCTTTCGCTCTTTAACCTTTTCAGATGACCTTAAAAGGATTGAACAAGGATCCGAGAACTGCTACGGCATATAATACAAATTTCTGACCTCTTTAAGATATGAACAGATGGTATAGTATAGAAGTTATTTACTTTGCCACACTGTTTCTATCCTTAGATATCCAAACTCCATCATCCTCACCAACATCGGGTGAGTACAATGTGTTCTTTTACAATTTTCTCAAGGTCAGTTTTGGAGCAAATTTTAACTGAGCGTGTCCAAACATGTGTAGGATTGCATTGATTTTTATCAATTCTTTTTTTTCGCAATTAAGAAGTTATTTACTTTACCACTCTGTCTCTAGCCTTAGACATCCAAACTCTGTCATCTTCAACAACATCAGGTAAGCACAATGTATTCTTTTTCAATTTACTCAATGTCAGTTTTGGAGCAAATTTCAACTGTGTCCAAACTAATATAAGATCCCATTGATTTTTATCAATCCTTTTTTTCACGACCAAAATCTTTATTACTGGTATTTGTTTATCATCGAACTCAACTCTACTATGTCTTAAAGAATTTCATATACAATGATTCCCTCCGCTTCTCCCCTCACTCTCCTCCACTCCAATACGCCTCCTCATCCATATCCCTGCTCACACCCTTTCCCTCTCATAGGAAAACAAATTATGGTCGAACCTGCGTTAAGCGGTTACCCACGCGGAATGGCAGCATGACCGCTTCACACAGATTGACTGCTGTGTAGGTTCCACAGAATAGGGGTATTAAGATAAACGATTAAAAAAAGGGCCATTTTATGCCACAACTGACCACTTTATGTACAGACACTACCTCCTAAATACAATTGGATTTATTTGGGTTGTTCCGCTTTAATTGACCGTTCAATAAAGATGGAAGACGGTACAAAAAGGCCGTTGGGACGCAGACTTTTTTTTGTCATATAAAATATAACTTACAAGATTTTTTTTCGTGTAGAGCTCGCGATCGCTTGGCGGCCGGAAGAGAATCTCTTAAGACTTTGAGACCTAATTAGGAGAATGAAACCTAGTTTAAAGAGAAACTGGGACTGAAAAATATTTGACGTTGAGTAAATGAAGAAACGAAGAAATGCAAGGTTTAAAGTGACTATGAATGCTCGGACTTTAATCCGTCATGAGTTATTAACTTAATTCCAATCAACTTAACTCCAATCTATGCTTTGAATGAAAATTTCAAGGTTTTTATTTATTTATTTGTGCTTTTTTAGGGGGCTCGAGTTTCGCTGAATGGAAAATTGCTCTAACAGTGGTCGGTCTTCTATTGTTTTTGATGGGAACAATAGGAATCTTTTGCATTCTCAAGAAAAAGAGGATACCGGCAAAACTACAGTTATGCAGGCTGTGCCGGAGATGCAGATACATAGTAAAACCGTAACGAACCGTTTTACTTCTATTTTCCAACTTTTTCGGAAAAGTCTGACATGCATTTTTTTACCCGTCTATATTAAGTAATCTGTTCATTAGCTCTCGTCAAGAGATTTTGAACTATTTGTATTCTCTGTCCTTGTCTTACATTATCCATTTTCACTAAGGAAAATACAAATAATGTGCAAATTAGGTGTAAATATGAATGGATAATTGGGCTTAGTGGACTGCAGTTTCTATTGGTAATTGAACTGAGTGGAGTGCAGTTTGGTCTGAAATCATCGGTGTGATTTCATAAACTCGCAGCGCGAGTTTGATTGAAATCACAAGAATGATTTCATATCAAAATTACAAGACACGAAGTTTAATTACCACTCTATTACATCCATTTTGAAATAGCAAAATTCAGCGAGGCAATACAAGGTATTTTCATTCTGTTCAAATATTTTATTGATCCAGTATATTGAGCCGGTTTATAAAAAGTTGCAAAAGGTGTCATTTTCTCGCGATTTGATTGATTTTTTTGAACAGGCCTTGAAATTTGATTGATCGTCATGTTTTAGTAAAGCTGGGGAAAAAATGCCATTAAGAGCATAAAATGATGTAATTTGATAAAAAAAAATTACACTGGAAAGAGCCAAACAGATTGCAAGGATCACAAGTGATTTGAAAATGGATGCAATAAAGGCTGCAATTGGGCGAGGAGTTTCAAATTGGACAAGCGCATAGCGCGAGGCTAATTAGAAATCACGAGCACGATTAACCCTAATTTGAGCGAGAACAGATGAAATCGAACTGATAGGACTTGAAAAAGCCATATTAGGGAGTGTTAGGAACCACTAAGAGAACATCAGTTTATAAT